TTTCAAATTTTTATGATATCTTCAAATTTATATTTTATTTAAAAATAAAATCATTATTGTTTTCTTAAAAACATATAAAATGGTATTATAACATCGACAGAGACAAATAATAAAATTGAACATTAAAATCGAGAACTCATTAAATTATAATAAAAAATTAAATTAAATTAAATAAATTATACAAAAAACGAGAATTTTTTAATAGTTAATTTGATAGTAATATCGATATAACTTTTTCAAAATTTTATGATATTTTTAAATTTATATTTTATTAAAAAAATAAATTATCGTTTTCTCAACCACGTAAAATCTTATTATAATATCAATAGACACAAAGAATAAACAAAACATTAAAATTGAGATATATTTCATTGTATAGCTCGAGTACCCTTATAATATATATATACAAAAGTATAGATCAAGTTCAAATAAGAATGGTGATCAAATAAAATAATATGAGACAAAAAAAATCACATGTGATTTTATATTAAACATATTGTACATATAAAATCACATGTGATTATGGGCAGCGGTGGACATATGTATGTCTAAGCATACTCACATGCATCTGCTCGACCTATTTTCGTAAATAAGGTTTTTTAAGGTACGAGGTCCCGCTAAACTTTAAGGGTGCTTTGCAATATTAGAAAATTAAGAAACATAAACAAAAAAAGGATTTTTTTTTTAAATTAACCGAAAAATTTCTCTCAATTTGAATTTGAGAGAAAATTTTCGGTTAATTTCAAAAAAAAAAATCTTTTTTTATGTTTCTTAATTTTCTAATATTATGCAAACACCTTTTGAATCATTAACATCTTATCTATATTATATTATAAAACATTTGACAAAAACTCTTAAAACCTACTTTTTATGCGTAAAGTACTGTTTATTAATGCATATTACTTAAAACTCAAGATTACAAGTATATTGTGCGTAAATATAACTTATTAAAGCTTCATATATGAATTCGTATAACTAACTGCAGATAAACATAATCAAATACATGATAAACATCTCATTTTTAAATATAAAATATCTAAAATATAATTAGGATAATAATTGAGTTCTAACATAATACTTAATTATTATCTTTATAAAATATTATATTATTAAACCAAAAATAAATTATTTTGTTATTAAACTTAAATTATAATAAAAAAATAAATTAAAGAAATTATATTAAAAAAATGAGAACTTTAAAATAGTTGATTTGATATTAACATTGATATATTTTTGTTCTTCAAAATTCAATGATATATTCAAATTTATATTTTATCCAAAAATAAAATCATTATTGTTTTCTTAAAAACACATAAAATCGTATTATAACATCGACATAGATAAATAATAAAATAGAACTTTAAAATCAAGAGGTGTCTTGCTACATTGCACAAATACTCTTATAATAAATCAAAAGTGAAATAAAACTTCAGATTTCAACTCTCTCACAAAACAAAAACAAAAAAACACTAAGGGTGCGTTTGGTTTGCAGGAATATTTATGAGGGATTTGAATTTCCAGGAGGGATTTGGATTGGATTTAAAATCCATTATTGTGTTTGGTTTGCAGGATTTGGACATAATATGACCGTAGTGTATACCATGAACTTCAACTATATATCTTGAAGAATCATAAAACTGCATATAGAAGTTGACTAGAAATAGCAAAATTCCTATGATCATGCATCTGAAGAATCAGTTTAAGCAAGCATATAGCAATGACGATGAAACCATCATATGTACATAGCACACTTAAACAAAAACTATATACTTGAGAAAAGTTTTCATCAAACAAGGAGGACTACTCTGTTCATACCTATTCAGATTTAAGCATCTACAAAAGGTGTTATATGATTTACCTGCTGAGAGTGATGCAAGAAGGCAGCGAACAGGAAAGGCGTTTTGGCTCAAGGGGTTTTGGCTCAAGGCGGTTCAGGGCGCAGCTTCGCTAGGGGAAAAGGAAGGGAGCACCGGCGAAACGACCTTAGGGCACAACTTCGCAAGGGACGGGAAGGGAGCACATGCGAGACGACCTTAGGGCACAGCTTCGCAAGGGACGGGAAGGGAGCACCGGCGATGGAAGGGAAGCGATGGGAGGGAATATGGGTGAAGGAAGCGGGAGGAAGGAAGGGAGACGCAATAATCGACAGGAAGCGATGGGAAGGAAAGGATTGGATTTGAAATCYCGCCCCTTTGSAAAGGATTTCCAAATCCCGCATACACTGGATTTTAATCAAATCCTTGGATTCCAAATCCCTTCAATTTGGCAAACCAAACATAGGATTGGAATGGATTTAAAATCCAAATCTCCCCACATCCATTCCATTCCTGCAAACCAAACGCACCCTAAGGGGTTGTTTGGATCATGGGAATTGAAAGGAATTGGAATGTGCAATCATTTGACCAAATTCTAAATAGAGTGTTTGATTCATGGAATACGACTATGAAATCCTTCCAATTCCAGTCGATTCTTTCACGCATAGATTTTACAATTCCATGGTAATATGCTAGGATTTCAATTCATTTCGTATAGATTCCTTCCCTAATCCAATTCCGTTAAGAATTTCATTCCAATTCCATACAACCAAACACAATCACAAGGTATGGTCAAATTCTATCAGATCCTATTACATTCCCTCAATATCAAATTCATTTGATAAATTCTAATTCTATCGAATTTCATTCCACGAACCAAACGTATCATAAGTTTTTTCATATTTTGGTAAAACAATTGCATAGAGAAATGTTGATGCTATCCGACTCAACAAAGGAATATTTCCTGAACACACGACTCTGTACCTCTCTGTCTGTTTAGTTCAAACAGAGCAAAAAAGTTGCTGCAATTTTCAACCAAAATTCATATTTCTCCACGCAATCTGCTTCTAATTCTTCTGTTTTGTGTGAACACTTTATACCTGTTGATCGGAGAAACGGCGTTTGCATACTCTTGATTCAATCGAGATTCTATGTTGTGGATGAGGAATTGAGGAAAAAATGGCGGACATCTATATGACCGCGGCGGCGGCGGCCACCGTCAAACGACGGATTGCGTATCTGAACGTAAGCTCGACGAAGCTTGTGGAAGAGAGCATAGACCAAGCTTCAACGTATATTCAGACAGGAGATATCGATAATTCGGGGGTGTATAGCCAAACTTGCATGAATTTAGGAAGGTTTTGCTTTCTAACTAGTTAATTGATTTTTTATTTCCATTATTGAACACATACTTGTTGGATTAATTAACGCATATATATACTTATAGATGCATTTTGATTTTCTTTACTTTTTGGAATTTAGAAATGATCGGGATGTTCATTGGTAGCTAACTGGGATGAGCTTAAAGAAGTGCAAAATTATTGTGTGGATTTATGCTAGCAAAAACTGGAGTTATATATGTGTGAATTGCACCTCTTTTAAGATGGCTATTATGTTATAGTTACGATTACGAAAGTGTGTAGTAGATCAGCCTCCGATAAAAGAGGGAAATTGCATAACTTTAAAAGGGCTATTTGGTGCAGGTTTAGAGATCATGTTTCGTTTGTTGAATGTTGAATTATCATATGATAATTTATACTCTGAGGACGTAATTTGCTGGACGGATTTTAGGGAGGGCAACATGCTATAGAAACCCTAATTTTCTGTTTCTGTATCTATGGATGTGTCTGTGCTTGTTCTATGGCATAGACGATAGAAATGGGTGTAATCTGTAAATCTGATGCCATTTTGTTTATATACAATTGGAACGAGGATCCTGACAGCTTAATACACAGAAGGGTTTCTTGTTTCCTGCATTTTCTTTATGGCCTGTTCATGGGAATATGAAGAGAAATGTGTTTGTGGGAAAACGTTTTTCTTTAACCATAGGAAGGCTGCTCTTCAGGTTTTTCAAATGCTTAGCTTGACATTTGTGGTTTACAAACTCTGGTTCTTGTATTCTAGGGAAAAGTTTAATGCTTGTCTTTTGAAATTATTGCTGATTTTGAGAGGGTATTTCTTAATTGACTAGTCCAACAATTTTTTTTTTTTTTTGCCAAGAGTGCGTTTGGTAATCTGACAGAACTAGACTGGACGGGTTTGGACAGACGAGGGTGAGGTAGGCGAATAAAAGAATTGTGAAAGGTTTTAGGGTTTTAATTTGTAATGGGTAGTTTAGTAAGTTACCAAACTTGTTCCATCTCCCTAAATTTTGTTCCACCTATTTTTGTGGGACAAAAACAACATTTATGTCCCACTCTGTCCCGTCCTGGTCCGGTCTCAATGTCATGCCAGACGTGGGACAACAAGTTTTCGTTTTCTTCTTTCCCAACCTGTCCCCTTGGTTATGTCCCTCTATTATATCCCTCTATTATATCAGTGTACTACAAATCAGCAGTCCATATCAACCACCCACAATTTTAAATATTATGTTAAAAGGAATGCTTCAAAATTTAGGTGAACTTATAAAGTACTTTGGTTGTAACTAACAAAATAGGCATCTTAGAGCTATGCAATTTACTCAGAGATAACTCCAGTTTCAAAAATAGTGTTTGGTAGCATACATTCACACAATATTTTGCACTTCTATAAGCTGATTATATGTTGCCACTTGCCAGGGATCCAAAATGGTTCCTTCAAGCAAATAGGCCATCTAATTTCGTATACACTGTCATTGTGCTGAGATTAAGCTTCACTGTTGCAAAATGATGATTTCATCATAGGGATATCTGAAATTCTAATGCTTTTCATTATATATATATATATATATAGTGATTCAATACCACGGTCACACTCTTTATCTTCTACTTGTTTTGATTTATTTATGTGTTTGTGACTAATACTGGTTTAATAAACTTATAAGTTTTGCTATTGGCATATGTAGCACTATTGATTCAGCTGTTGCGTTGAATGAAGTTCCATCATCATCTCATCTGCTCCAGCTACTTTTGATTGTAAAAGAGGTTAGTTACAGATGTCATTGTTTTGTTGCCAAATTCATAGTTACGTCCATTGTCCTATATCATAAAAAATAGTTTATAATAGTCTGAACTATGAGATAAAAAAAGATTTTTTGTGTTGTTTTGTTTTCCTCTTTCAAAGTCATTAACATTGTTTTTTTCTTTTAGCGTTTGTTTCTAGTTTTTGAAAATTGTGATTTTTCACTTCTTTTTTGGTAGAAAGACCAACATTGCCCCTTGCGTATCCCTATTCTCATATCTCCATGAATTCATGCTCAATAATTGGGATACAATCAACACCACATGGGTGCTCATCCTTCCACCCCCCCAAAGAGGGAGTAATTTCTCAAATTGTGTCTGTTCTAAAAAATTCTTCCCAAACTATGCTTGTTTTTAATACTATTCTTAAAATATGCTTGTTTTTAAATTATCTTGTCAATTATGCTTCTTTTCGTGACTACTTCCCAAAATATGCTTGTTTTAAAATTACTTCCGAAAATATGCTTCTTTTGAAAACTACTTCTCAAAATATGCTTGTTTTTTTTAAATTAGTAATTTAATAGATTAATAAATGACAATTTTACTTTCTATTTTTTCTTCCTGTATTTTGTATTTTCCATATCTAAATATTTAACATGATATAAACAAGTTTTTATATAATCTTTTTAAATGATATACTTAATTTAAAGAAGAAGTAAAAACTATAAACTTATTTTAAATGACAAACCCTAAGAAAAGCATGGTCATGCAACATGAAAAATCTTTTCAGAAAAAAATTATAGTACATGATCTTCTAAAAAATACAATACATGAAAATATTTATAAAATAGAGTACATTAAAGAACAGATTTATAATTTGTCACTAATTTTATAAAATTCGACTAAACTTAAATGACAATCTTTTCAGAGAAAAGCATAGTACATGATCTTTTATAAAAATACAATACATGATTTTTTTTTATAAATATAGAGTACTTTAAAAAAAATTATATTTTGTAAAATTTGACTACAAATAAATGAAAGATCTTTTCACTAAAATTGGTAAGTCATTTAAAAAAAAATAACAATAGAGGGAGTAGTTTGGGAAGTATCATTGAAAAAAACATATATTGCAAAGATAAGCAAGCATATTTTGGGAAGTAGTTTTGAAAACAAACATATTCTAAGAACTTCTGAAAACAAACACATTTTGGGGAAACTCCCAAAGAGAGGGAGAATCTTTCGTGCCTCCTAGCAATGGAACCGGTCTTCAACATGAGGTCATTATTGAAAAAACAATTGTATGATATGCATGTCACATGAAGAGATAGAGATGATAATCTCTTTGTTACTGCAAACGATACAAATGCGGAATTTGATTTTTCTATGCGTGAAAATATGTAGAACCCCTTTAAAATACTCTCCAAACGAGCTCTTGAGGAGAGAAGGGGTTTTGACATCTATTAAGGAGAAATGGTCCAAGTCTAGCCGATGTAGGACTCTAATGGAGGCTAGACGAGCACATCTTGTCCCAGAGTGTCGAGAGGGAGTTAGACGGATATAAATTGCCCCAGATTGCCGAGTCCCTAGAGTGATAGACCTTGGCTCTGATACCATGTGAGGATATGTAGAACCCCAGTAGAGTATTCTCCGAAAGAGCTCTTGAGGAGAGAAGGGGTTCTAACATAGATTGAGGAGAAACAGTCCAAGTCTAGCCATTGTTGGACTCCAACGTTGTGGTTTGGGAGGTAGCTAGTATAGTGAGGGGAAAGTGCTGAAAAAGATGAAGTAAGAGGCAAACATGCTTGTAGTGAATGAAGAAAGAGGAAGACTTTTATTAATTTGTCAATTGTGTCAAGGATCTGCTATCAATTTCTTAATTCTATGTGATTGTAGGTTTATAGGCGTAGGACTGAATTGCTCCAACCCTCGTTGATGTTGCTCATGCTACCTATCAAGGTATATATTTTCTTCCATTCAGGAACACGTAACATGAATTCCCACATAGAGGGGTTTAACCAATTTATAGTGTCATGTATGATCTTGAATTATTATTTACTAGTTGCCTTTCTTTTGAAAGTGAATTCCAGCTTTCCCAATTTGCATTGTCTTTGTTTACTATTCAAGACACTGTCTATCTTTTCCTATGAAGTTGCCGATTTTATTTTAGAGATTAACAAACATAGCCATTTCAGCCAGACAAATCTACCTCTTAGCCGTTTCTCTCCCAAAATTTCCAAAATGTCAGTACTTCCACAAGTAGCAACTCCTCAACTTGCGATGGGTCGAAATGTAAAAAGAAAAAGAAATTTCTGAACATGACCCACAAGTACAGGGACCAAATCAAAAACCTTCCAGCCTAGTGGTAAAGGCTTGGGCATGGCATAGTCATGAACCCGAGTTCGAGCCCTGGGAGGGGAGTGTTGGCGACATTTAAGTGGGGCCATGTTTAGCCTCCAAATTTGCCGGGGATTAGTCGGGCTTTGGCCCGGACACCCTTACAAAAACAAAAAAAAAAGTACAGGGACCAAATCTGTAAATTAATTAAAGGTCCGCAAGTAGCACTTCCGCTACTTGGGGAAGTGTTTGGAAAATTGTACAGGTTTGGTCCCTGTACTTGCGGACCATGTTCAGAATTTTATCCTTTATTTACATTTTGACCCCTCTAAAAGTTGAGGAGTTGCTACTTGCGGAGGTAGTGACATTTTGGGAGAGAAATGGCTACGAGGTAAATGTATAAGGCTGGAATGTCTACTTCTGTTCATCCTTTATTTTATTATTCCCCTTCGTCCCAAAATAAGTGTCCACATTTCAATTTTAGTTTGCCCCAAAATAAGTGTCCACTTTCCAGTTCTAGCCTTAGATGGAGAAACTTGTTATTCCCTCTATTACTAAGGGTCAAATTGTCATTTAGTTGATTAAAAAGTGTAATAATTACACATTTCTAAACTATGTGCCTTTTTCATCGTGGACAACTATTTTGGGACGAAGGGATTATTAAGCTTGCTTTTGTGCATAATTGTTGCATCATAGTAAAGAATCGACTAAGTAAAGAATCAAAAACCGTTTAGTAAGGTGCCTACTTAAATTCTCCATCACTTTTTTTTGTTATGATGGATAGCAGGACAGTCTCAATCCTGTATGAGGGTTGATCATCTGCCAGCTTGATTACTACTACACATCCTAATATAGCTTGGTAGTAAAGTGGTCATGGTGTTCAAATATTTTTTTGGTTACCATGGTGTTCACAAACTTGTATGGTTGCTGGTTTGACCAGGCCAAATAATTGGTTACGAAGCCGTCATAAACTCTTTTGGAAATTAGACATACTTAAATTATGTATGACTTAGGTGTTATTTGGTTGGTTTTTCATTAAGTCCTGTATGGATAAAGTTGTTTGTGTGGATTAATCTGTCTGTATAGATTGAGAAGATTTTTGTTTGGAAGGGTTTTTTCATTGATGGAAGGAGCGTGCTTTTTAATTGGGATCGGCAAGTTTGGAAAAAAAATTGGCTTCCTGCATAAAGCTCCCCCTATAAGCTAACTGAATAAGCCATTTTCTATATCATTAAGCCACTACCAAACAGTCATGTATAGCTGACCGAATAAGCTCCGAGTCCCATCATTAAGCTGCTAACAAACAGGCTCTTACTTCTTTTTAGCTGATGATGTTTGTTTTTTCTTAATTCACTTACTGATGTGCTGTAGTTTTCATCACCTTTTCGCAAACAAAGCATTTTCTTGCATTTATGTACGTCCGATTAATTTCTTTTAGCTAGTCTTGTTTGACTACCCTTGATTCAACATGTTTACTCTTCATTCTTCAAAACACACTCTTCATCAAGCTTCTTTCTAGTTTCAGTTTCTCTATGTATGTGTCTGTTTGTGCCTGATTACATAATGCATATCATATATTTCTGTATAAATTCTGCTACAGGCTGCTTGTCAAATTGGCTGGTTTCCAGATGAGGATAAAGATGATCTCCTTATGATGGCAAAAGAGGTTGGTTGAAGTTCTTTTTTGGTCCACTTAGATTACTGGCTATGGGGCGGGTTCAAGGGTGAACCTTAAAAAACTAGAGAACGGGGAACCCCTAATCAACCATTGATCGGTTTTAATCCAATGGTTGTGAATAATAGGGGGGGGGGGGGGTTACATTTTACCAAAACGAACTCCATGGTTATAGGGGCAGTTATGTTCGAATTTGGGCCATCAATTTTATAAATCCAATGGTCGATAGGGGTTCCCTTGTTTTCCTTTTTTGGGGTTATCTCTTGAACCTCCCTCTACCGGCTATATTGCTACCCATGGCTTTATACTAGTGAAGCAATGACCCTAACTTAACCATTGCTAGGTAAGCTATGGGTTCTCTGACACGGACAAAATGAATATTGAACCAAGTGATGCACATTCCTATGTTTCAAATATAACCTCAAGGTAATGGTTTCTCCTACTTTCTCCTTACTGCATTCTTATGTTCAAGCTTATAAAACTGAGTCTCATGTGCTACATCTTGATTTCCCGCCTTTTTGGTTCTTTATGTTTTCGTTTCATTTTCATTTCAATTGATAACTGTCCTTACTATTTGGGGATATTTCAAATTAGTGGTCTCTCTTTCCTTTTCCCGTGTCTTATTATTCTTTTTGGGATGTCTTTTGAGAAACATAATCTTTTCCTTGTATGATGCAAACAACCAAAAGAAACTGACCAGCAAATCCCTCTCGAAAGTAGGGGGTGGGGGTGGGGGTGGGGGGGGGAAGTAAGCAGACCTGACTCTACCCCAAAGAGTAGAGCGTTTGTTTCTGTAAAGACACCCGGCTTGTGCAAGCGTGTGAGCAAACAGGTGACTAGTACATGGTGAACATAGGACGAGGAAAGAAAGAAAAAGTAGTGAGGAGGTACATTGAAAAACATACAAAAGGTAAGGCAGAACACATATGAGCAAGTAAGGCAAGTAGACAAAAGCACATCCCTAGCCTACACTGTCAGCCCTCTACCCCCAACCTTTCCAACTCCCTTCTGCCCAACCATGCTAGCTACAGCCTACAGGTCCCAACATCTAGGCTGTTACCCTTTTCCTCTTCTGGTGCCTTTCTAAATAAATGGTTTCTTCTCCTTATCAGGATGTATTTCATAAGTGGCCTCGTTTTATATGTATATAACCAAGTACAATGGAAATTACAAATTTACCTGTACTGCTTGTGGTGTTAGGTTTGAAACAGTGAATCAAGAAAATTTGAACTAGTTTTCTTGAATTTTGTGGACAAAAATTCAGAAGGTGTGAAGTGAAAGTATTTTTTGCTTTCTAGTAAGATGAGGATAAGATAGTTAAATTAAGGTAAACTAGCTTTCTTCAATGAGCGTAAAGATTTTGGTCCTCTTAACGGGCATGTAGCCGCAGACAGGAAGTCTTCTTTTTAAGAAACTAGAAAGTTGCTCCAGATTTTGTAGTTTCCTTGTCTGCTTGCAAAATCTGTTATTCTTTCAGGATCAAGTATTTGCTCGTTTGTGGAATTTATTAACTTATTAATTCTTTAATGAGAGTTTTTTGTATCCTTGAAAACATCCATATTTTAAAAATGTAAAGAAAGCTTCATCTTGGCTAATAACCATTGTCGCATGTGGACTCCTTTACTCCACCCACCTCAAAACATGAACAATAAGGCAGAGCGAAGGCTATGCCTGCCTTTGGTGGATCACTTTGATTTCTGGCTTTGGATTTGGCCAAAGTTGAAGTTGATTATATTGCTTACCACCATGTTACCATAATTTGTCTATTATTGGTATACAGAGGGTCATTGGTCCAGCTGTATCTGGGTTACAGGTAGAGCCCAGCCTAATCCAAGGAGGTCAAGGGTTCAAACCTCACCAAAGATAAGGAGTATTATCCGTATATAAATATTATCTATACTATCTTATTAAGCAAATTTAGCAAAAGTCTTAAAGTCTTAAAATACTAAATGACCAAGATACCTTTTGTACTACCTTTAAGTCACTTTTTCACCCCCTCCTCTCCTCATATACACTCACTCCCTCACATACACTCACCCTCTCGATTTTTTTAAAATTATAATTTTAAATTTACACTTTATACCTCTATAATTAGTTAACTAATTTACTTTACGTCCTTTACTTTTAAATGTTTCATTTTAAACTTTTATCAAATTAACATACATAATCGTATATCAATTAAAACATATTTAAAAAATACATTTTTATTTTAACAAGTTACACCATTATAATCGTCTCGTTAATACCTTCGAAATGAGTCCTATATTGAATAGTTTTT